CCAAAAGTTAGCTTCCGGTTAACCATTTCATGCTATTGCTGACATAAGGTACTGCTCCAATGTACAAATATGTAAATCAGAAACTTGCGCCACATGTAGTATACTTCCGTTGGGCCGTTACAGGAGTTTCGATCGTTAATTCGCTTGCTGAAGTATCGCTCTTCGACAGTTCATACTCTATCACGACGAGACCGCATCTTTATATGGTGGTGACTTGCGTGTCTCCGTGACCCTACGAGCTGCGCAGGATTTCTTTTCACAAAGTCACTGTCACGGTTCGCCTTTCGTGTGTCCGGCGATTCGGCATCCGACACTCGCGGTTTTCCTGGTGTGGGGATTGCACTAAGTGCAAAGGCTAAGTACTCGCTTCTTGACTGGATTTCAGTCAGTGGGCGAATGCACTGTAAAATTGATACAATTAGGCTATTGACCTATTTTATTTTCACCATTTTCTTTTGTTTCGGCTCTTGCAGAACAGCTTTCACGAAGCAAGCCTGCTGTTTACAAGATGCCGTAAAACAATGCAACTGATCACCGATTTCCTAGCGAACGATCACAGTGCATCGTTGCGCTCCCTGACGGTGCCACATCAGATGTTTCTGAACAGCCCACGGTGCTTTAGGCGAAAGGTTAATAAAGATTTACTAATCTTATCTAGACCAGTGCTCCCACTTTGTTTAAATCTTATCGCGCAGTATTCGTCAACTACTCGTGACTATAGAATGTACTCCTATTGTTCTCCACATTGTGTGACGTAATGGATAAGTGGATGCAGAACCATGTTCCCGCTCAATGCATTCACCAATTGGTATTTCCTCTGGAGCACAACTGTCATTTTACTTGATGATTAACTTTTGTGATCTTTCACTTCGTGTATGCGTTTTTTGCGTGTTCCTCACCGACACAGGTCGATGCAGAAAAAGCAGAAGCGTTGTCCAAAGAGATGAATGTGAATACAGTACCGACTGTTGTCCTGTTTCATGTAAGTTCATTGTTTTCTTAAAAGTTATCGATGTGCTGGCCTCCCCCTTCACAATTGATTGATCGACTGAAATGAGGAATTAATTTTTGAAACGTCACATCTCTATGGTTGAATTTCGATGCATCCATCGTTTGTCATGTGCCTTACCGTGATCGCGAATAACTGTAGCGACAAACAGCTAGACTTGGCTCTTGGCTTCTCTTCAAATAAACTTGAATAGTCTCCTTACTCATTTTATGATCGGTGCTTTGTGCTGACCATAGTAGTATCAGGCAATCGTTCTTTACATCCTCTCCACCACTTTCGTACTGGTCAGTTAGTTGACTGACAAAGCATCGATACCTAGCTTGTTGTCTTGTCATTTTCCCCCTTGGGCCGATCCTACATCCTTCGCTAATAGCACATGGTTGTTGGATCTCGAAATATTTTATCCGTTCGCAACCTGTTTGTGACGTCTTACTTATTTTCTCGATTAGTTAATCCATTTTCCAAACAGCAATCGCCTACTAGTTGTATTTCCTGACTAAAGCTTTTCCATTCCGTTCATCATCATTGTTGTCGTCTTAAAGCGATTTACAGTGAAGTAAACCTGACCGGTCGGTGCCAAGCTCAAAATGTTTACAAGGTAAGTACGAATATGGTGGTTAGGAAACTTATAGCTCTATCAAACCCAAATTTGAACAACTTGATATTGGTAATGCGAAAACTTCCTGCGGTTGATCGTATGAATACACCATGGTTCACACGTACTTACTTTACTTTACTTTACTACGGCTGGCTCCTTGTAAAGGATAAGCCGGCTCCATGAAAGTCTGATTACCGCCGTAGAAGACATGACCATGAAGTTACTTGGGAGTATGGTACGGAGTTTGGCACTCGGCGTTTTTTATTTTGAGGGTGCACCTCTAGCCTTTGCACAACCAAGTGCGAAATGAAAGGCAACAGGAATTAATCCATCGACCTTTGTCACGACACTGTCATTGAACTTTAACTTTTAAACGACCTAGGTGACCAGCCTGAAACCCACCACACCCTGATAGTGCCGCCACTGTTTGTTCGCTACTGCTTATTTGTTGCGGTGTGCCACAGCTAGCCTTCTTCGGTGAAGGTATCCCCCTATCCACAACTCAGGGACGCGTCTGGTGGCATTCAGCTCTGCTTAATAAGTCTGGCAAGTGCTGTTACCGCTATCGGTATGAGCTTTGCACCTTCAAAGTGCAATGTGATGTTGCGGGACTGGGTGTCGCCTACTCCCGCTCTGAAACTAAATGACCAGGAAGTAGTTGTGCTGGTTTACTTTTCCTCCTTAGTAGTAGTAGGTAGTTGCGCGACCAGTGACGGTAACGAAGCAAAGGAGGTAACCGCCCGGATTTCCAAGGCTCAAACAGCATACGCAGGGCTGAAACAGCTGTAGCGTGGACGCGATCTTTCACTCGTGTATATTGTGCTACCGCCCGTTCAGCTCTGCTCTATAGTTGTAAGACTTAATTTGCGATTAGCAGTTTTCGATTGTCGGTTGTAGAATCTCTTGAGAATATTCTATAATGTGGATTGCAAACTGGTAATCCGTCCTAACGATCGAGTGACGCGCGAATCTCGGAGTCAACAGAAGACAAGATTCTGTTGAAATGCGATACTATTATGACAAACATGATCACGAATGAAACTTACAAACCTCGAATCGTGAGGCAATTCGGTGAGTGCGAGCTTGCACTGTCAAGGCACAATCGAAAGATGGTGCGTCTTAAGGACAAATTGGGGAATTAAATTACAACAACATACCAAGAGAAAGACAGCGTTTTGCTGTGTCAAAAGGAGCCTTCAATGGCTATCAATGCGTTCAACTCAACGACTGCCTACACGTGCAGATCGATCGAGATCAACGGTCAGAATGAATAGGGAGAGATACGCACAAGGAACTGATGACCGACAATGAACCAATCAAATGGAAGGGAATAGACGACCAGTGGGACTGCTGACAATGAGTAGGTTCTGGTGTAGTTTTGTGTGTGTGTGTGTGTGTGTGTGTGTGTGTGTGTGTGTGTGTGTGTGTGGACATCATACATGCGTGCGACCACCCGGTCACGCTGGTGTGTGAATCACGGAGGTACATGCAAGTGGTCAAGTGTTCGCGTCGGGGAACGAGGGGGAGGGGGACGAGAAAGTGTCCTATATCGATCGACGCGAAGGCTTAGTCAACTGAACAGCGGAGGTGACATGGGTCACTGACACAATGGGGGAGGGGAGGGGGGAGAGACAATTAATTCGATCAATAAACTCATGGGTCGGCTCAGACATGTGACACAATAAGATAGATTAAAGAGGAACAAGCATCAAGGGTGAAGTAAGAAAAAATACAAATGGAACAGAGTAAACTGGATACGAGGGGACGATAGTAGTAGGTGATCAACACGGATTCAACATCGGTGTTGATATAGTTTAGCCCGCGTGAGATGGAACTAACGGGTTAATAATGTTAGGCAAGCCGTCGTGTGTTTGAGAGTCCATCAGGGATAACCCTGCTAGCTTATAGGATTAAGATAAGTAGACTTCGCTGCCAAGGGCACGTATTGCGTATGCCCAGCTGTCGTCTCCCACCTCGCACCTTATTCGCTGTAGCTAATCCGGGCTGGAAGAAACCGTGTAGAGGTCAACAGATGACATGGAGATGAGGCATGAAGAAATGGACAGAGTTATTAGTTTCAGTTCGGGTTTTACAACCATTAACCATACACCGATTTCGTTTGCTATCGTTCGGTGCCCCATTTGGAGAAAAGAGCAGACTGAGGATTGGAATGTTGAAAGCAATTTCATACGGAAGATGGAGAATTCATATAAAGTGATGTGAGGAGAATAATGAGTGGATGCACGAGCGCCACTGTTTGCGACACTCAGCCATGTCACTTAGTGTCTCTAACCACCGCTGACCATGATTTCTGGGTCCCCAGCCAGGGAGCCTAACGAGGCCTGTGTGGCCAGTCTCCTGGTTAGGGTTCTCATACCCTTATGCCAGATCTTGTTTTGATGTTGTTCTATCCGCTACTTGCCTCGGCGAACCGCTCGCAGTGGCAACTTATTTGGTGACATGCATAATACACCCAACGCAATTCATGGAGGTCGATCACTTACTCCAGTGGACGACCGCAACTGCCTAAAACTCTACACCTAACCTCAGCATCGCTCATCCGGTTTCCCCAGACTCGTGCAATGCGATGTAGACAGCGGTGTTAGAACACTGACAATCTATTTTTATTCTGTGCCTGTAGTGGCCAAGTCTCTGCACCATAGAGGAGTACTAGCCGAACTGCTGCAGTATATACTCGACACTTCACAGCCAACCGGATTTCGCGGCGGCTCTCGAAATGTCCCAAGTCGACAAATGCCAACCGAGTCTAGGAGTCAAATTCCCAAGTGTAACTCAAACGGCACATTGCTTTGCATTCAAAAACCCTGAAATAAATCAAAATGTTATGCTTACCGTTTGGTATATCTACTTAGAGTGAATTCTGTTCTTGAGCTATGGATACATCAACAGGTCGAGGATAATAAAGAGTGCTCCTTAAGAACCCCGTTTCCCGAGAACCTATAGACAAACACTCATGATAATTAAGCCTTAACCGTCATAATTATGACGTATGTTACAGCGTTAATATACTGATGAGACAATGATATGAGGATGTACTTTTACCAGCGGTTTATTATCCTTAGCACGTCATTTCATCCCCTTCTGATCAGCAGAGTTGACTTGTGAATGCAAAACAATGTGCCGTTTGAGTTACACTTGGTAATTTGACTCCTAGGAGTATCGCATGTTATACAGAAACACTGAAGCTGTACGAAATGTGTCATGATTTGACGACACGGGCACAATTGTTAAACCTCCTCCAATCAACGTGTGTTGTAGCATGCAACCCGCATACCGTCTTACTTAACCAAACTTTGCAGCATCACCATTTGTAGAAAATAATGTTTTTCAACATTCGTTGACTTCAGAATATTCCGATACTCTTTGAGCTGACTCGCCTACTGCGGCGTGGCTAAATTTTGTGCGTTGAGGCTAAAGGACTACGGGTCTTGGCTAAAGCATTGCGGGTCCTGGATAAAGGAATGTAGGTCAAGGCTAAAGTATTTCGGGTTTTGGCTAAGGGATTACGGGTCGACACTAAAGGATTGTGGGTTTGGGCTAAAGCATGATGGAGACAGGTGTGGTTGTATTTGAAGTGCTCGCGAATTGCTTCTGCCAGTGGGTCTGTAGGCCGTGTTCGAATACCTTTATCTCATTTTCCTTGGGACTGCATGCATTTTGCGTGAAATCATTGTACTAATAGGTTAGTGATACTGAAGCATTACAGCGATAGGAACTCTATCTAGGACACAGGTTTGAGGATGGTAGGGTGTGCAAGCTGGTATGAGTTTCACTCCCTCCCTTGATCACTCATATGGGGCGCGTCTACAGAAGGACGCTCAACCCAACAAGAAGGAACTGGACTGACATACTTACCCTGCCTGNCAATGCGTATTTCAAATGTCACTTTACTGTCATGATTCATATCTGTGTTCCAGCACGGTTCCGAGGTGGCACGGGTTTGCGGCGCCAAGGTGGCCGAAGTCACAAAAGCAGTTAGTACACTTCAGGCCCAACAGTCCGGTACAGGTACCGGTGACGCTTCTCAACCGGCAAGTCTGGAAGTGCGCCTCCGATCACTCATCAACCGTGCCCCTGTAATGTTGTTTATGAAGGGTACTCCTAATGAGCCCCAATGTGGATTCAGTCGTCAGATTTTGGAGCTGCTTAAGTCAGTCGATGCAAAATTTGACTCGTTTGATATCTTAAAAGATGAGGATGTTCGTCAGGGTGAGTTCAGTTTTTGTTTTGCTTCTACGGATTAAATTAGGTCTGTGTTTATCCACAACACGTTCAATAACGACCATTTAATTCTCCGTCGGGACATTAACCAGTGAGGGTAATCATAGATAACTACGAGCGTAAAATCCGTGAGGTATTTGATGAACTGCATGTAGCATTCTCAAAGGAACCGGTTGAGGTATCAGGGTGAAAGCTGGGGCCTAAGTCCTTATCACTTCGCAGGTGATGGGTATCAAACGAGATTGTGGGTCGATTAGGGACTAAGTTATTATGTGTTTATATTGCAGAGGAACATTTCACGAATGAATGATATTTTCAGTTGTGAAAGCGCAGCTATGCTCTTTCGTAAAACAATTGACTTTGGCATTCATGAACTTGGAGCAAATCGTAAGATATATAAGCGAGCCTGCTTACGTGAATCCCGGTGTCGCCGGAGAAGTTTGTCGTTGCCGATTTTGCTGATTCACTGTTTTCTGATCCAAAAGCTTTTCTTTTTCGGCACATGTATTGCAGGTGGGGTTTTTCAATCGTTGGGTCTTTGCTGTGGCTTGTCTAGAAGGCCGTCTAAAAGGGGCTCTGTGCAATTGTTACCCATGTTTCTTTTGTTTCGGTATTCCATTTGACGACCGAGATTAACGGGTTTCTGAGGACACTTGCGGTTTAACGGCCACTCATTTTTTTCTGAGGGGTACAACGGCTTCCTTATGGCAACATAATTTGTAACCCAAATTCCTCGTGGCAGGTCAACGAAAAAGAGGAATATATATAACACCAATCTTTACAGATACGGCACCAAATGACCATGGGTGAATGAAAAAATATAGGTACAAGAGCGAGGAAAATAAACGGTCAACTTCTGGGAGTAACAATTTTTTGTTTGTTTTCCGTTTTTGGGATAGCAGACAAGAGAGGATGCATTCGTGCCACTGACTTGGATTCGATGCCATATCCCGCAATGTCTCCAACCAAAGACAGTCTGAATCTTTGGGAGGCCAGCCAGAGAGCCGAGAAACCCCAACGGAAGCCAGATCGAAGCACAATCTCTTTAACCCTCTACGCTACTTCATAACATGCCCACCTCGCTGTTTCTTCTAGCCTGAACCGATGTCTGCGAATAGTGCATTGTGTGGCAGACCTTCAGGCATTTACTCAAAGGAAGACTATCTGGTCCTAGCACCCGTCGTCTGACTTCATCGTTATTCACGCAATGCTCCCACCA